ATAAGCACAATTGGGCATGTTAAAGTTAGTGCAGTCAAACGTTGCTAAAGATCTTTGTATTTATAGTAGTGATACAACAAAATGAAAGCTCTTGTACAAAACCAAAATGACACACTTGGCCAAAACTAAAGAATTCCTATATGTAATTTGTCAATTTATTTATGCTTTTGAAGTAAAAAAGGTGATGAGACAGTAATCGTCATGTTGAACTGAAAGAACTAGAGGAGTAATTTAGTTTAGAACTGCTTACTAAATGATAATATTAAAAGTTATAAAATTCTGAAAATATAATACCTCATGTTTTCACGAAGTCACTTAAAGCTGAATTCCAGACTGCCTCTACTATAATGAGAGAAACATCTAATTTCTTAATATGTAAGGTTTGTGGACGTGGATTTGGAACTCCTGCCTAGCAGTCTGAAGTTTCTCCAGCAGGGGGCGCTTTTAGTGTTTGTCACTTTCAAAATGAGAAATAAAAAGGTTTATTAACAAAAGATATTGTGTTACTCAGTATTATTGATATGGTTTCAATTAAAGAATTTAATCTAATCAGCTAATGCTAAAAAATATCTTACCTGAAGTTTAGCTGCAGTGGACCATCACAGTTGATCTGCTGCTGCTGCTGCTTAACTGATTAAATGTGTCTGTGCCGACCAGCACAGGACAGTGATGGGAACAAACAGAATTTTTAATCTTTTTCTAATTTTCATTATCATTCAAATTGTTTAAGTATTTGATTTTAGCACTTCATTTGTAGACCTATTTATTTATTTATTTATTGACTACAATTCCTTTAACCTTTTTTCTCTTTTGGCAGAAAACTTAAAGTGCTACTTGCACGCATTTTCAGCCAAAAATTTTTGATAGCTGAATTTTATTTATTTATTTTTTATTATTATTTCTATTTTTTTGACAGTCATTTTTTAAATGTACTGGCTTTTTTTCCTCTGTGCCAGCTTGTCACACCTCAGAAAAATGAATCTGTATCTGACTAATTTGTTTCCTCTGTTTTGCTGGCATTTAGAGCCAGACTGATATTAGGGCACTTAACTACTTAGTAGTTCCTTATTTCTGCATGCCCTTTTAACATTATTCCGATCAGCTGAGTAACTGGTTTCATCCGCAGATACCCCTGTGCAGCTACAAGGAAACAGAGGGCCAAGGCTTATATATACAAAGCTTCTGAAAGTAAGAGTGCTGATTTAGGGTGAGATTCATGTCTTATTTGTGATGATCTTATTGATGAGAACAGATCCTAAATCAGCACTCTTACTTTGTAAATGCTTACTTTGTCTTGATTTGTAAATATGGGCCCAATTATGCTAAGCCTTTTGTGCCAGTTTCAGGCATGAATCTGACGCATATAGCTCACATTTAAGCACGATGTACGTGAAAAAAAAAACAAAATGCATATGCAGATAAGGGAGGATCACAAAAAACGTGAGGAGCATTATGCAAAGTATGGGTGGAGATGTTAGAAGCGCAGTTGATTACATATTCCATTCAATTTAACCAGTGGTCTCCGCCTTACAAAACTATCCATAAATTAGCAGCACTTTCTCAAAAATGTGTTGTTGGGAGACTTTCTTTAACAATGACAGCAGTTATAGAAGCAGGGGCACACCATTGTTTGGTGGGAAAAACATAATTTATCAGCATCACTGAACTTGCATTTTGCCTTCTGTCCCAAGCTCATTAACGGCTGCACTGATTCACTGCACATTTTAAACCCTCCATTGTTAGCCACAGCTTTAGTTAACTGAATGTTCATTTCAGAAGCATTGTAGTTGCTTATACCACAGTAAGTTCCAACTTTGAAATGTAATTGGCTGAGAGGCATTCTATGAGTGCCGGTATCTCCTGATAAAGACACTCTGAACAAATCTCTTTAAATAATGTTCTGCCTTTTTCGCATGTAATGTAGCAACAATAAGCAGCCAAAAGTAACAAGCCTTGTAATATAATCAACAAAGCTTTGTAATCTTTTTGATGGTCATCTATTTTCTGTTTTTTTGTTTCATAATAATGTTCCACCTTAAATACCCTGGTTAAGTGAGCCGCCTTTTGTCAAAACATGGTTAAACTAGCCAGAAATGATTGAGGATAAACTAATCCTAAAATAGAAAAAGGTTGTAAAGAGCTGTATGTCACTTCCTCTAATTTTTAGAAGGACATTGCTAGCCTCCTGGAAGTTTCAGTTGGTAGTACCATGTTTTTCAGCTACTGATATTGCTTTAAAGTGTGTAGCCAGTTCTTTCAAACTATTAGCAGATTTTAGTTTGTAGTTTATTTGTTTTGTATTGATGAGAAGACTTGACATTACCAGTGTAGACACCCTGAAGGTTTGGCCTTACATTACTTCATTTAGGTGCATTTATATGCAGTTATATGTGTACTAGATCAGAGCTTTTTTTCTTTGAAGAGTGTAAATAAACTTGCATATTAATTCACCTTTTGTGTCATAACTGTCTCGAAATCTAATAATAAAACTCAGCAACTACACCGTAGTATAACCAATAAGTGATGGTAGAGCCTACGAACGCAGCACAACAGTGGCAATATCTGATAGCATAGCACTCCCTCTCGTATTAATGTGTACTTGTGACTTTATGAAGCCTGCTGTGCTTTGTAGGAATGTGCATTCCGATTATTTTTGATATTTGAGTATCCATAAGAGTTCTGGGAACTGCTGGGAAGCAAAAACAATGCCAAGAAAGAATATTTATATTTATTTATATTTTCATTGTTTGTGGACCTAGCTAACATCAGCTGGAGTAGTTAGCCTAGTTAGCGAAACAGTTGCACTCTCTCTGCTTTCTTAGCCACATCCTTAACCAGAATATTTTCTCCGTCTTCGCATGATGAAACGTAAGCAATGCCTGTATATTGATTTTAGTGTTTGAACATTGGCACCTACAATGGTTATTTGAGTACTTGAGTACCCATGTTTATCACTAGTACTTTGTCATGCATTTACGTTTGAGCCAGAGATGGTAGCTTCTGACAGAGGCATCAGCCTTGGAATTTAAAAGAAATAAGGGTTCACTTTGATATCATAATGATTGCTGTAGTTATTGCAGCCTACTGTGAAAGTACACTGGATTGAGAGTATGTGTCATTATGTGTGAGTGGAGAGATCCTGTCTTAACATGTCTGGCAGTGAGATGATGCCTGGGCATTCAGCTAGCTAAGTGTCATTTTCTACAATGAAATGAAAGCAATCTTGTGAATACCGTTCGCATTATAGGTGACGGGTTTTTGATGGGTAATCAAGATGCATCAGTTTCAAAATGGCATGGAAGCCCCCTCCATCCGCCAAACTGCAGCTGCCATGTTGTGTGTTTTCACACACTAAATGCCTTCACATAGTGATTGTTGATGAAGCTATTGAGAATAATCCTAACATAAGATCACAACACACTACTGCAACTGCCTTGCACCAGAATAAGAATTTTGTGGCTTGGTTGCTTTACCAGACATACCTGCCATAGAATTAACATTTATATGAATGGCTGTTCTAGCGAAACAGTGGCTTGCTGTTGTGGGTCAAATAAGAGATCTCGATTTCAGATATATTAGTATGCCAATGAAGTAGTTGGTAATTCACTGCCTTTTTCATGTTAGATCAAAACATTTTCCCTTTTCCCTTGATGGTATACATTTTCTGCTTATTGGAAACTGTCTTTTAACAGTGTGATCTTAACTGACTTTGTTCGTTGGATAGTTTGGATAATTGCTGGGTGCTGTATTTATGAGGTGGGACCAGCAATGTCCTGTCCATCTGTCCTGCTCTCAAAACTTGCAATGGGTGTTAAGTGTGAACTCTTTACCATGATCATGTGAGTTTAAATTTTTAAGTAAATTAAAAAATGTTAGTCTTACTGTGACCTTTTGAGAGCTAATTTCCATGTCCATGGGTTTTTTATATATATATATGCACTTACACAATCATTTTTTGAGTGTTGTTATTTATTTCTAGGAAAAAAATCCAACTTTCTACGCAGAAATCATGCCTCCAACCAAAAAGCTCTCAGAATCGAACCAAACATTTTGCAGAAAGTGTTAGCGTACAAAAATCTAGCAGAAAAATAAGAGTAAGAAGAAGCCAAAGAATTAGATGACCCTTGTTAGTCCCACAATGGGAAATTTCACCTTGGCATTAAACTCATCCATGTAGTGAGACACCACATACACACTAGTGAACACACACAGTAGGGGGAGGTGAGCAAACTTGCCCGGAACGGCAGGCAGCCCTATCCACAGCACCCGGGGAGCAGTTAGGGGTTAGATGCCTTGCTTAAGGGTACTTCAGTCACGTACTGTCTCAGGCTCAGGGGATCAAACTGCCGACCTTCCAGTCACAGGGCTGGTTCCCTAACCTCCAGCACATGACTGCCCCATGAAAATAAATCGGATAACAATCTAATCACTAATTTACACACATTGAGGAATTTAGTTGTTACCACAGTGTTTCTCTGTGTATTTTTGTTTAATTACATAAAGTCTTCTGATACAATTCAATACAGCAAATTATGTGTCCTGAGGGTAAAGATGATCTTTTTCTATGTGTATGTGTATGTGTATGTGTGTGTGTGTGTGTGTGTGTGTGTGTGTGTGTGTGTGGTTGTGTGTTTTCTTCCATTCTCATCCTATTTAATTAAGTCCTACTAATGCATTTTGCCTCTACAGTACTGTGAAAAAGTCAGAAACCTCCCTTCATTTAATTTCCAGTCAAAACGGCCATTAAGTACAAGTTATTAATTTCTCAGGAGATTGCATATAAAATAATCAACTTTCAGAAGAAATTTTAAGTCAAATGACAATAGTTGAAAAAGGAAAATAGTTTGTTTCAATTGACATCAAATTTCTGAAGTGTCTCTGACTTTTCCTGTATACTGTACATGTAGTTTGTTTGGTATAGATATAGTCCGTAATATCCTTACACTCCATGTAAAGCCTAGTAAAAACTCAAAGTCTGACTTTGTGTCTTTTTTCTTTAGGTTTTCCCCTTCTGCCATCCTTACAGACATCCAGACTTCACCCATACGAAGGATTTTAAAGAAAGCCTCACGTCTGCCACTCTCATCAACCTGACCTCTTCCTCTTCCTCCTTATCTATGTCAGTCATTCTCCATCCGCCCAGTGAGAACTGAAACAGGACTCAAACCGATGAATAAGTGGTGACAAACAGGTCCACTTGGGAGCACAAATATATTATGATCTTTTTTTTTTTTGATTGTTCTGTCACTTTTATTTGGCATTTTCTTTTGTAACTGTACATAATCAATTTCAAATCTTATAGTTTTGTACATGTAATTTTTATGGTGTGTAAATTTTTTTTTATAAAATAAAAGAGTGGATTAATTCTAAATTCTTTGGCTCATAATTAGTCTCAAGAGGTTGCTGCTAATGCTTGAGCCTAATGACTTTTCCTTTAGGCGTTATCTCTCTGACTCCGCTATCAAAAGCTCCACTATAAGAGCAGTTCTCACGGTGCTTTGGATATTACATTTAATCAGCTCTTTCATATTTGCTTCTGAATCTGTTCCTCACAAAGTCTTATAGCAGAGGGTGAGATATTAGTAAAGAGGATGCTTTTCTCATAGATTCTCTGATATTCAGGGTTGTAAATATTATAAAAGCCTTGTATTCCCTTAAAAGCCAGTGCTGTTGCAGCACGAAGCTCCAATATACCAATACCAACACCAAATAAACAGCTACACTGAGACAGTTAAAAGAAACGAGGCATTACTAATTTCATTTCACAAAAATAAGAGATTTAGCTACAAATTATCATGCAGTGGGATGTTTATGTAGCCTATATAGTTTCAATAGTGGAGAGAACAAAGAAGATAAAAGTGAAAACCCCCAATCTCTTACAAAAAATGTAAGGGAAAACTTGGAAAATATAAGCCTGCGGCAGAATAAAGCGCAGAAGGTCCTCATAAGCACAGAAAACTATTACTATCCTATCCTTTTATCAGACCCCAACCCCAGTTATTTTAGAGCAGTCCCTTTTGGCTATCAATTTATTTGAGAGGTTGGAGGACTCTATTAATGGGCTTTGGGCAAAGGCTATGGCCAGCAATACCCATGCACTCCTAAATGACCATCTAGAGAGTAATGACCTTAACACTGCTCTAAATCATCATGGAGTGGTTATTACATAGACCATAAAACTGAGAAATCATCAGTACTTTCTGCATCAGGTGATCAATGAACTATGACCTAATCAGAAAAGGGAAAATATTGGTGTAGGGTGGAGAGATTGAGTATGATAAAATAGTGTTCAATATAGCATATTTTCCAATAAAAACACAGTTCAATTTCATTCAACTGAAGTTTGTCATTATACGTATGCACAAGAGTGCAGTATAACAAAATGAGTTCGGCTATTTTCAGGTATACGCCAAAACTAAACCTGTACTCAAGTAAAAGCAGAATAACCCAAGTAGAAGAAAAAGTACCTGTCCAAAAGAAAAAAAAAGACAAATTGAGTTTAAGTACAAAAGTATTAGGTAAAAAAAAAAAAAACTTCTAAAGTAAGTTATAGAAACTGCAGTGGAACTTTGTAGTACATTCAGCTTTGATCAGAATAGAGTTTGTTAGGAACTATTTTTCTTTTTAGGATACCTTTTGGTCTCAAAATGGGAAAGCTCTAAAATCAGAGGTGTGATCAATCACAAATCAGTACAGATGCTGACACAAACACGATATGATGATATTAAACACTCAAAAAGAACTAGCTAAATGTTAATGACTAAAATCTTACTCTATATAAAGCAAATTTCTTTACTCACAAATATATGGAAACACATGAGGAGAACATCACTTTTTGACTTATTTGACTTAGTATCTTAGTATAATGACATTCTCAAAATTAGGACTAGGTATCTCAAAATAATTACTTATTGTCTTGAAATTAGGACTTAGCATCTTAAAGTAGTAACTTCTGTTTTCAAAATTATGACTTACTATCTTAAAATAATTATTATGTCAAAACAATGATTTCATCTCTCATTTTTGTGATTTTGTATTAAAATAATGTCTAATTGTCCTGACATTACTTACAATAGTGTCTTTATTTCAACATAGAAAGTCATTCATCTCAGATACTATGTCACAATTTTGGGAAAACAAGTAATTATTTTATTACAGTAAGTCAGTACTTGGAGATATTGTCAACATGTTGATAAACTAAGTCATTATTTTGAGATACTCAGTCAAAATAAAAAAAAGTCATTATTTTGCCAAACTAAGTCATTATTTCAAGATGATGCATTAAAATTTTGACATATTGCCAGAAGAAACACACACACACACACACACACACACACACACACACACACACAAAATATCAGCTACCTTTGCTAGTATAGGCTTCCAGACAAATGTCTTTGGGTAGAAGTAAAGTTATTATAATTTGTATAAAATACTAAGTATAAAATACATAACAAAATCTACACATGTACATGATGCCAATATATGCAGGATCATAGCATTATTAACATACAGTATCACAGTTGCATAAAAAGATTGAAGTATAAAGTATAAAAGGACAATAGAGCACTATTTCTCAACCCTGGTCCTGGAGGCCCACTGTCCTGCACATTTTAGTGTTTTCCTTGCATCAGTATGCCCACTTCAACTCAATGAGGGCTTGTTAATGGGCTGATTATTTGGATTAGGTGTGTTGGGAGTGGGCCTCCAGGATCAGGGTTGAGAAACACTGCCTTACTCTGCAGTAGTGATGCAGACTGTACATAAATAAATAAAACATACTCATCCACTCCCTGCTATTTCTTTACATGCCCATTAAAATAGCAGAGTGTATTATCTATATAGTATGGCAAATGAAACAATTTAATTAAGTTTGTATTGCTTGGCCAATGTTTTTTTTTTTTTAATGATGAAACAAACTCCTCTACTTTCCTTAGGAGTGAGTCACAAACAAGGTGTCCATTAGTGACAGAGAGGAGGAATATAGCAGGCCTTGAGTACACTGGAGCTCTGTCCACCCTGTATTTATTTATGTACTTATTCATTTATTTATGGACTAGACAGATGCGAAGATATGAAGAATCATCCTCTTGCAACCACTCACTTAGCACTAAGGTTTTTGAGAATAGCCTTGAAACAGCATCTGCTCACCAAACCTGTACATGCTGTGAGACGATCTCAAGAAGAAAACTAAGGCGGGTCACTTTATTTCAGCTAAATCCAGTTTACTTTTTCAGAATAACATTATGTTTGCAACATTTGTCAAATATATTTATCTGTACATCTTGCATATAGATCGCCATCCTTACTTTATCAATGAGAACATCTGAAATGTCTATTTTTTTTACTGCAGTCTCTCTATTCTTTATAAATTACTGTGCATATTGTGGCACTTGCGTAGCTGGTTCCCAGAGTTTCGAATACGAATAATAAAAATAAAGATTCAGTTTGACAAATGAGTAAAATTCTAATCATGCATTGCTGTTAACATTGCACGAAATCTACATTGTGTTATCGCATGAAACTTCTGGTTCTCCTCCAGCACTCCTGAAGAAGGTTTTAAACTTGCAGCTTAAACTGCCTTGAAGTCCTTGCTTCTGTCTAATCACAATGGATAATGTCTTTATTGACATCAGACCAGTTTTAACATGCTTTACCATTTGTAAATTATCAGATGGAGTTTATGTATACGTCTGTCCATGACTTTTTTATTTTTTTTTGCCTATGCAAGCTGTTGGCTTATGTAAACACTCACATTTAAACAACTACATTATTTCCTTCACCATATATTCCTACATTGATGGCAGTAAATGACCAGGAATGGCATTTAAAAATAAACCAAACAGGAGCTTTATGTGCCTTAAATGTCTGAGCACACAGGGCAGCAGATTAACCCTTTCAATGCCCAGAAGTCTAGGCTGCCATTCTTCACACCTGCAACTTATTTTAGAGAAAATTATCATTCTAAGTTACAAAATTTTTTATTTACTCCAGAGTTAGTCAATCAAGTGTTCACACACATTACATATGGGCACTAGATTATCTTCGATTTCTGTTGTTTCTGTTTGTAAACATTATCTATTCACTTAGAAAATTCAAGATCTGGGGCGTCCACATTTTTAGCAGTTTGCATTGTTTTCCATATAGTTACTCAATAAGCCTTGGGATGTAATACATCTCAGAATTTAAGGGCTTAAGCTCCTTGAACTCCTCTGTTAAACTGCAGTCTTTATAGGTAAAGAGGTTTATAGATACTTTTGGGTTAATTTTTTTACCTTTGTGTCTAGTGATTTTGAATGTTTTTACTGGTTAAATACCGGTGTTTACCAGCTATTGGAAACTCTGCTTTCTTCTTGTGACTCAGAGAAAGCAGGTCCAAGCCCTCATCCTTGCAGTTTGATAGCATTGTGTGAGAGGGGGAGACCTAACCAGCGGGTGGAATTGGCCATGACTAAATTGGGGAGAAAGTTGGATTAAAAAAAAAAAACTGTCTGTGATGGAGTTTAGTTTCCTCTTTTTTATAATATATGCTGTGTTTGTGTGGTTGCTTGTTTATTTATGCATTCTATGGGAGTGGTTGCTTTTTTAGAGACTGAATTTAGTCTCTGTGATTAACATATCATAATGCTTCGTACAATTGGCCTTATTCCAGTCAGTATAATGGTAATTATCATAACCACTGAAACCACAGGGGTTACTGAGGCTAAACTCATTCCTCTGAGTAAAACTGTGTTGCTGTATTATTCAGCTCCCTCAGTCAATGGTGGCACAACATGCCACTCACTGTTGCATGGCTGATTCCTGGGCAGTGGAGTATGACTAATACGGTGTTTTACAGGGGATACATGCTTTTAGAGAGTACTATATGAAGCATGAAACTGCACGCTCAACGAAACGACAGGAGTAATGGTTGAGAGAGATGTAAGGCAAGGATTTATGATTAGGCCTGAGAAGCAGCCATAATCAGCCCTATTTGTGCCAGTCGGAGTGCAGAACAAATGGCTGAATAATCATTTGCACACCATTAAACAAGATCAGAGAGAAAGCAGACACTTTTAACAGCATAAACCACTGCGAGAGATGAATGCTTATCAGTAATTAACGTGGGCCTGAGACTCCAGCCAAGGTCTATTAGGGTCTCCTTCTCACTGTAGAGGAAGAGCAGAATGGAAGGAGGAGGTAAGGAGAAGTTTGTGAAGGAGTCTGCATCTTGATTAGTCTGA